TATGGAAGCATTAAAATTGCCAATTTACTTGTGTTCTGGTAAACAAAATAAATATGTTTCTAACATCTAATTTAAAAATACTACTCCATACAAAATGACAGGGTCAGGGTTTTTTAACCATATGAAATTTGATCATTCTGAGGAAGAGCAGAAACTTGTCCTAAATCACTGCAGACAGTACAGCTGAAATTTGAAGCAGTAAACTATTCTATTTTGGGAACAATAGATACGAAGTCAGGAAGAGTTAGGCTTTCTAAGAAGGAAATTGCATAGAAAAGCTAACTATTAAGTCAGCTCTCAGAAGTATTTGAATGCAAAGAAGATTAATACAGATAAGGAGAAGGTATGGGCACTTAGCAGATGACAAATGGCACACTCATTGCCACAGAGAAAGCAAACTTTTAGCTGAAGTGGTACTTATGGGAAATAAATTCAAACCTCAGATGTTTGAGTCAGGAAGTCTCATTAGGATGCAACACAGCTTCTCATTATGGGTTATTACATAGTGTCACTAAAAAAAGGAGAGACATCTGAGAGGGACAAGGCACGACCAAATAGCAACATGAGGAATTCAGTCTTGCTATATCCTGCTCTATATTAATATTGGATCATTTGATGCTGTCTTCTCACCAAAAATGACTTTTCAAAGTAACAAAAACAGAGATTAAAAGCAATCTATATTGTAATGACAGCTGTTAGGGTAAAACTTGAGAATTATGTATATTTTATTTGTTGATTTATTCATTCATTCAACAAATATTTGTGGAATTATAGAAAGGCAAAAATAAATAAGATAATGTCTTTCTCACAGAGATCTCAAGAAGACAGACATGTAAACAAACCATTGTAAAGGGTGCTCTGGGAACTTTATTTGAGGCATATACCAAGTACAAAACAGGGACTTTGAGGTATATACCAGGCACAAAGCAGGGACTGGGAGGAGTTCATAGAGAAGATATTTTTGACCAGAATTTAAAGAAAGAAGAAGAGTCTGGCAGGTTGGGGTAAAGGTAGGGAAACAAGGAAGCCTCCCAGAGGGAAATAATAGCTTATGCAAAGGATTTAGCAATATAGAATTTAGAATCCCGTATGAATCCCAGTGCAGCTATTATATGTTAAAGCTGTGGAATCTTAGGTAAGTTACTTTACTTCTTGGAACCTCAGTTTCCTCCTCTGTAAAATAAGCACAGTAATCCTCACTACATGTAATGATTATGTGCTTTACTAACAGTGCTGGCTAGCAGGTAATGAATGCTGCTTTATCTCTACCATTTAGAACATCCCTAGGTGGTAGGTATTCTTATTATGCTCCCTTTGCAGAGGACTGAGAGGTTATGGAACTTTCTCAAAATTACATATTTAAAAAGTGGCAGCATTGGGGCCAGGCGTGGTGGCTCATGACTATAATCCTAGCACTCTGGGAGGCCAAGGTGGGAGGATTGCTTGAGGTCAGGGGTTTGAGACCAGCCTGAGCAAGACTGAGACCCCATATCTACAAAAACAGAAAAAGTAGCTGGATATGGTGGCCCGTGCCTGTAGTCCCAGCTACTCAGGAGGCTGAGGCAGGAGGATCACTTGAGCCCAGGAGTTTGAGGTTTCAGTGAGCTACGATGATGCCACTGCACTCTAGCCAGGGCAACAGAGTGAGATACTGTCTCAAAAAAAAAAGAAAAAAGAAAAGAAAAAAGAAAAGAAAAAAAAAAAGTGGCAGCATTGGGATTTGAACCCAAGCAATTTGGCTCAAGGCTATATATTTTAGCACTATGCTGTGTGCCTTTTATTATATAATGTACCCTAGGAAATAAGGTGTTTGGTGTGCAGGTATGGGATGAGGTGGAGATGGGGCTGCAGTGGTAACAGATCAGATCACTGAGGGCTTCATGCCATCCTAGGAAGTTAAGAACTTACTGCAAGGTCAAGAAGGAAAAAGAGAAGTATCTTCGACAGGAGAGTGACTTGTCAGATTTGTGGTTTAAAAAGATCACTGGCAGCATGTGGAGGATGCATTGCAAATAGGGAAGACTGGAGGCAGTTACAGCCTTGGCAAGAAACAGTGAGGCTCCCACTAAAACAAGGGCAGCAGGATGAAGAGGAGGAGACATGTATAAGAGATGCTAAGGAAACAGAGCTGACTGGACTTAGGGACCAGTAGGCTATGAGGGCCAGGAAGAGGGAGGAGGCTAGAGTATCCCTTTGGTTTCTAGTTTCAGTGCCTAGGGGAAGGAGGTGCCACCACCAGTTGAGATAGGGAAACAACGCAGAAGGAGTTATTTGGGGGAAAGATGTGAGTTTGGTTTTGAGACTGGGGCAGATGAGGGACATTCAGGAGATGTCCAGCAGAGAGTTGTGTCTCTAGGTTTGAACACAGAAGGTCTGGGCTGAAGCTGTGTAGCTAATAGAATTGCTCAGTGAGACTGAAGAGAGAAAAGAGACCAAAGGGGAACATGAGGAACCTCAGCATCTGCCACGCTGGCAGATGAGGAAGAAATGGCAAGGGAGGCTGAGGAGAAAGAGCCATCAGGACGGGAACTGGAGGAGAGTGGGGTCCAGGGGCCAAAGGTGAAACTGTTTATACACAAATACCTAAAACACCTGGAGACAGTGTTTATACACAAATACCTAAAACACCATGCTGACAGTGGCATGGGCAGCTAGGAAATTGAGAAGGTAGGACAAAACTGTGCTCACTGGACAAAAGGATTGAGTTATAGTCCTTTCTTTTTTTTTGAGACAGAGTCTCACTTTTGTTGCCCGGGCTAACATGAGTGCCGTGGCGTCAGCCTGGCTCACAGCAACCTCAAACTCCTGGGCTCAAGCCATCCTTCTGCCTCAGCCTCCCGAGTAGCTGGGACTACAGGCATGTGCCACCATGCCCGGCTAATTTTTTCTATATATTTTTAGTTGTCCGATTAATTTCTTTCTATTTTTAGTAGAGACGGGATCTCACTCTTGCTCAGGCTGGTCTCAAACTCCTGAGCTCAAACAATCCGCCCGCCTCGGCCTCCCAGAGAGCTAGGATTACAGGCGTGAGCCACCGCGCCCGGCCGTGTTATAGTCCTTTCTGACGAGTGCCTTTCTTGGTGTTTAATCTGCGTTGAAGAGAGTAATTTGGTTATTAATCTTTATCTACAACACAATTTTTAAAATCAAACTTTATTTTGAGAAAATTGTAGATTTACATGCAGTTGTAAGAAATAATTCAGAGAGTTAGAACACAATTTTTAAAACAGAAATAATTCAGAAAGTTAGAACACTTAATTTTTAAAACGCTTTCTTTATTTCCACTATGGCTTCAAAATCTTCCATTTTTGTCCATTTCTCCTCTTGGTGCTTACCTGGGACAGAACTTTGTACACCACATCTAGAGTGAAGATGGGTTAGGGAAGCAGAACTCATGGAGCAAAAGGCTCACTCAGCCTGTGCATCTGGGTGGCAGAGGGTTGGGGCATTGAGTGAGGGCTTTGATTGTAGGTACCCAGGAGGCCTTTCAAACACAGAGCCACTCAGGAGAGTTTCTGGATGGAGACCTGGATTTGGGAATGAAGCATACAAAGTAGGTAGCTGCTGAAGCACCTGCCTTCATCCAGGGCAGGCTGGCTCCAAAGTGCTGCAAGGCCTGATTTTTTTTTCTTGGATGAAGGACATCCTTGTTAACATCTGTCTGTGCTCCATTCGATCCATGTTAGAATGATCTAACTTGCCAATCTGATGGTGCCTCTTCCCTACTCAAAAATTGTCCCATGAACCTGCCACTGCACTGAGAACAGAGTGCAAACTCCTTGCCTAGGAATTGGCCCTGCTGACTCTCCTGCTTCAGCTCTCAACTTCTGCCACTCCCTCATGGGATCTCTCTCTCTCATCTTGGGGTCTTTGTTCCTGTGGCCTCTGCCTGGAAGTCTCTCTCCACGCTCCTCTCTTTGACTGGCCAACCTCTTGGCCATTCAAGTTTCCATTTAGAGGATGTCCCCTCCAGGAGGCCTTCACTCAGCCAAGCAGGCACTTGCCTTGGTGCCCTTGGCACCCTGGGATCATGCTATTGTTACAGGAACTGCACTGTATTATAATAGTCTGCTTGACTGTCCATTGTGTCAGGGCAGGAACTATGCTTTATTTAAGGCTCTATCTCCAGTGTCTAATGCAGGGTATAGACCTAGTAGGTGTTCAGTAGATAGTTTAGCACAGAAAAGAGTTTCTGATAGAGACATGCATTTGGGGTATGATGGACAGAGAGGTGGTACCACCGGAGCCAGGGGAGCGGGTGAGATGGCCCACGGAATCAGAACAGAGCTGAGTGCAGAGCCCCAGGACATCCCAGCATTTTAGGGCTTCGAGGTTTGAGGACCCCTCAAGGAGACAAAGAAGGAGTGGTTGAGAGGCGGGAGGAAAGCTGGGAGTGCACAGCATCCCAGCGTGGAAGGAACTTACAGAAGCAGGGAGGTGGTCCACAGTGCCAAACGTGGGCCTGCCTCTTCCCTCTCCCCTCAGCCTGAGGGTATGTGGGAGGTGGGAGGCAGAGGCAAGTCAGAGTCATCTGCCTCCCCCAGGGTCCCACGTCAGCCGCGGCTGTTCCCGGGGGGAAGGTAGGAGTTCCCTGGGACTCTTTTGGGTTCCAGTTCTGGCCCAATCGCCGCCGGTCCGGGTGACCTTGGGAGTGCCTTTCCTCTCGCAGCCTCAGTCTCCCCGTGGGTACTCGGCAGACGCTGCGTGCCCAGGCAGTGAGCTGAGGAAGGCCGGCGGAGGCAGGGCCCGGGTGGGAGCGGGACCGCCCACTGCGGCGGCCAGGACCTCCGGGGCCGGGGGAGGCAGCGCGCGGGGCTCCTCCCCGGGGGCGGGGGTCGCGGCGCTGGCAGCTGGCAGCCCCGCAGCTGCAGCCTCAGCACCTGCCGCCGCCAGACGGCGCGGGCGCGGCCGGGCCCGGCGTCCCCCCTCCGGCTGCAGCCGCGGCGCGGGAGGCGGAGCCCGAGCCGAGCCGGAGCCGAGCCGCTGCCCGAGCCTTGCCCGCTACAGTGCCCGCCGCTGGGCGGGGCCGCCCCTCGCCGAGAGCGCCAGCCCGCCAGGTCCCCGTGCGTGCGGGCGACACAGCCTCTGCAGGTAAGGGCGAGGTCCTGGCGTCGCAAAGTTTTGGGGGGACTGCCGGTCGCCACACCGGGCCTGCGCCTCGGTTTCCTCCGCGCCTCCCTCCGCCGTGCGCTCCGCCTGCACCAGTGGTCCCGGGAGACCCGTGCCCGCCTCCCGTCCTGGTATCCCCACTCCAGGCTCGGGGGTGCGTCCTCGGGCCAGCTCAGGACCTGCACTAGTTAACTCTTTGCACAGGATCGATGTGTCGCTTAAGTTTCTGAGATCCGAATGGTGCAGTTAGTGGAAAGAGCTGCAAACTGGAAGGGGGAAGACCTGGATTCAGGTACGGCCGCAGCCGGCGCCAACTTTCTAAGTGACCTCAGACTAGCCCTCCCTGCCAGTCCTCGACAGACACACCTGGACCAGGAGGGGCTCGCCAGGGGCGGTCAGTTGAAGCACCATGTCTGTATTGTCATTTTGTGAGTAGAGGGCCACCCCTGAGTGTCTCAGCTCCAGGGCTCATTGCGGGTGGAGAGGAATGTTGGGACGCACAGAAGTTCATCTCCAGGGTCACGTCGCTAACTTGCAACAACTTTGAGCTTTAGGAGGGGTGTTGAGTCACCCTCTGAGGGAGTAGAGGATGCTCCCAAGGTTGGGAGTCGGAGCTCTGGCTTCTGATCGCTCCGCTGCGTCCCCCAGCTGTGTGACCTTGGGCAAGTCCCGCTCTGGTTTGCCGCCTATATAAGAGGGTGGAAGGAGTGTTCACTAGATGTTCGCTGGGGTCCTTCAACTGCAAACTCTTGAGAAGAGGAACCTCCAGGTCTCTGCATTTAGAGTCAGTTTGGGTGGAGGCAATATTTCACCAAGAATCCATCTAGCACTTGCAAATGGGCGTTTAGAATATAAAGGAGGCATTTGCAGTTTGCTTTGGAGTCCCAAAATAGACATAGGGAGGATTGGTGAATGCTCAGCTCTCCTCCTTCAGTGCTTTGGACCATCATAAAATATTCAACAGAGTAATGATTTGTTTTCAAAGTGGCTTATAGATCAGGAAGCGTTTCTGTTTGTGAGTTGGTTATTTTTGCAAAAACCTCAAAATGGTTGTTTGGGGGGAAAATGCACTGTTCTAGGGGTCCTGACATAGAGGCCAGCATCTACTTGTTTCCAGTCTAAGATGATGCTTGAAATGTTTTCCAATCAAGACAATTTAAAACCACTCCAAATCAGTCATCCTTTGGTAGCTGTTCAATATAGGTGGGGTTGGAGAGGTATATAGTTTGGCAAGTATATATTTTCCAGAACAGGTGCACTCTTGTGCAGCCACAGCAAAACAAGCACAAGATAGTTTAACTGTGACATGCTAGAAGGTGAACTTTGTTCCTTTTGCCCAATATCTTGTTCCCCTTGTGCAGCAATTAGTGTCTCCCTAGTGTGTGGGTGAAATGCATTACTATGAAAGGATTCTCACAGAACTGATTTTGTTATTTTATTTCCTTCCTAGACATCCTGGTTTTAAGTTTCATGAAATCAGAGGGCTGGTGAGGGTGTGCTTTGTGACTGGAGCAGAGTTGTGGTAAATAAGTTTGCCTTTCCCAGTGAGACCCTATACTTGAAGCTAATTTGTCCAGAGCCTTTCATCTCTCAAATGCATTTAAATGCCACTGGTCTTTTCCTCTCTTCATTCTCTAGTGGTTCAGCAAGTACTTTCTCACTACTCATTCAGGAGGAATCAAACATGAAAATTATGGACAAGCCCTACCTTCCAGAAGCTCAGGTCCTAGTTCTAGGAGTAAAGAAGTTTTTGCTACAGGGTATTAATTCTGGGCCTTATCACCTGGGACCTCTGAGAACATCAAGGAGGGTGAATTCCAACGGGAGAGACTGGAGAAGCCTTTATAATGGGAGGTAGAAAGAAGAGGATTTTGACAGATGGCAAGGAGTGGAAATGCCATTTTTAGGTCAAGGAAGTGGTATGAGCAAAGGCACGAGCTGGGAAAGCAGAAGACGCAGATGAGAACAATGAGTCTGGTGGAAGCACAGAGAGGGCAGAACACTCCAGAGCAGAAGACAGTGGGAAGAGGTTCAAGAGACTTTGAACCTGGGCTTGAACCCTCACTGGCTTTGGGATATTGGGCCTTGGAGCATCACTTCTCATTCGTAAAAGGGAAATAATAATAATTCCAAACTCACAAGATTAAATGAGACCATATGTAAAAGTGCCTAGCAGAGTGTTTGCATATAATAGGTGCTTGATAGAAGTTGATTCCTTTTATCATTGTGTTCATGGGCAAGCTCAGTACATGTTGCTAGGGCTCATTGGAGTAAATAACTGGTGTTTTTTATTTTAGCATGTGCATCGACTTAGACCCTCCCCACCAGGATGGAGTTCCTGTGACAAAGTGATGTGTATTCAAGGTGCCTCCTGATTCAGGGGGCAGGGATTTTTGTTATTTTAGGTGTTCAGATCAGATACTGACATCAGCATCAGGCAATACCCTGTAAATACTGTTAGGTGGTGAGAGGTCACAGATGGATTCGTCAGAAGACTCAATCCCTTCTTCATATAAGCTTATCACTGTGTGCTCAAGGACCCAGGTGGGAGGATTGGACAGACAGTTATAAGTATATCAGCTTTGTCCATATATGCAGGGAACTGGGCACTGGCTCCCTTCTGCCTTAGATTTACAATGGTCAAAGAAGAATAGGACAGGAGGGTGAAGAACAACATTGCAAATACCTTATGAGCCTCTTGTAGCACGATGTAGCATCATGGTACAGTCCTTCATTTGTTCATTCAGTGGTTATTCATAGAACACCTGCTTTGTGCCAGAGAATTGTTCTAGGTGCCTCAGAAATACATTGAAACAAAAGGCAAGGTCTCTGCCTTCCTGGAGTTTACATTCTAGTTAGAGAAACATAATAAACAAGTAAATACATAAATAAGGTAATTATAGGTTGCACTAAGGACAGGGAAGGAAATAAGCAGGGTAATGTGAGAGAAAGTAATGGGGATGGGGCTCCATTTGAGGTGGTCAAAGGAGGCCTGTCTGAGCCACCAAGAGCGACGGAAGAGGAGCCAGTCAGGCCTGGAGCTGGGGCAGGGGCAGTGCAGCTCTGTAAGAGGCAGCATGACTTTGTGCATGAGAATGCTGACTCTGGGGCTACACTCTCAGGATTTTAACACTGCTCCCCCAACTAAATATATTCTACCATCAGGCTATTTAATCTTCTGGACTTCACTTTATTCATCTGTAGACTGGGGATAATAACAGTACCTACTTGATAGGGTTATGACAGTGATTAAATGACTTGATATATATAAAGTACTAAGAATAGTGCCAGGTATGCAGTAAGCACCAAGTAAAAGTTAAATTGGTTCCAGGCAGAAGGAACAGCAAATGCAAAGGCCTAGAGGCCTGGAGACCTGAAAGGGCTTAGTGCGTTTTAGGACTAGACAGGCTGTCTGCATGGATAATATCCTCATGGTTACTGGGGAGACTCCAGAACAGTCTCTCTGCTCCTTCAGTACAAAGCTATGTATCAGGAATTTTGAAAAAAGGACCACCCACAGCACTGTCACTTGCAGGATTAGGCCCAGAGTGGTGTGGTGAGCTGTTGCTGCTGCTGCTTTGGGGACATTGCACAGTGGACCCTTCTTCAGGATCTCTTTCCCTCCCTCCCTTCCTCTCTCACCCTCCCTCTCTTTTGCCCCCTCCTCCTTTCCTCTCCATTCCTTCCTCTCTCCTGCTTTCTCCTCTCCTCCCCTATCTGTCTGCAAGCCCTGAAGAGTAGTGCCCCTAAGGCTCTCACTGATGTGTAAAGGGAAAGCTGCTGCCACCAGCCCTGGTAGCAAAGCACCCATTGCCATCATCCCCTCCCCCTTCCAGGCTGGAAACTCTACAACAGGGGAGGATAGTTTTCTATGACCTTGCCTTCTCCCTTGCTCTCTCCTTTCTGAAATCTAGTCAGTCACCAAGTCCTGCCATTTTTACTTCCAAAATCTCTCTCAAACACGCCTCCATCTTTCCATTGTCTCTCTGAGCATCAGGTTTCTGTACTCTCTACCCTAAAGAGTGGCTCTGGTCACATCACACCCCTCCTCAGAGACCCTCAGTGCATCCTCTGTGCGTGGATACTGAAGTTCAGCAGACATGATGGGCTGTCTTTATCCCTTCTCTCAACCCACTCCTCCCTCACCCTGTCCTCCGCTTTTAATCCTCCCCCACCCTCAGGTCTCTAGGCCTTTGCTCCTCCATCTGGCCCCTCTGCCTAGCATGTGCCTCAACCTTGGTGGTCTTGCCCATGACTGAAGGCCAAGCTCAAATCCTACCTCCCCTAGGAAGCTGTCTTCCAGATCCTCTTGCCCCAGGGTTTTTATCATCCTCTGATCACCAACTGTGCTTGGTACCTTTCATGGAGAAGTCATTGCTATCAGCTTTGAAGGATTTTGTGTGCAGTCATTTGTGTATGTGGCCACAGCTCACAAAAAGCCCCTGGGAGGGCAGGCATGATGTTCTTGTCGTCATCCCACGGCCATTTTCACAGAGCTGAGCCCTAGTGCAAGCTTGATAATGCGTTTGCTGTATTGGATTGAGGGTTGAGAGGACAGAAGCCTGATGCTCAGAGACAGAATGGAAAGTTGGGGACATGTTTGAAAATCACTGCCTGTGATTTTCCCAAGATCTGAAATGGTTTGAGTCAAGCCAGAAACACAAAGCTGATGCTTAGGGGTTGCATTTGGTCCTCAGCTGAACTCACTCTCAGCATTTTGATGCCTTGAAAAGTAGGTCCTTCATTTGAAGAGTTGATGCAACCTCAAAGATGAGTCTGAACTTTGAATTTACCTTTTCAATATGGCCTATTTTAAATATATATACTATGTAAGATTTGAATCTTCAAGCTTTTGACAATCATTTTTATATTGTAAAAACATACATTACAAGGCCGGGTGCAGTGGCTCACGCCTGTAATTCTAGCACTCTGGGAGGCCGAGGCGGGTGGATCGTTTGAGCTCAGGAGTTCGAAACCAGCCT